AACCCAAGCCATGGTATTTTCAATTGCCTCATATGCATGTGAAAGCTGGACAATGAATAAGGAAGACCGAAGAAGAATTCATGCCTTTGAATTGTGATGTTGGCAAAGAATACTGACAATACCATGGAGTGCCAGAAGAATGGACAAATCTGTCCTGGAAGAAGTGCAGCCAGAATGCTCCTTACAAGCAAAAATGGCCAGACTTGTTCTTACCTATTTTAGTCATGCTGTCAGAAGGGGCCAGTCCCTGAAGAAGGATATCATGATTGGTGAAGTAGAGGGTCAGTGAAAAAGGGGAAGACCCTTAACGAGATGGATTGACACTGTGGCTGCAATGATGGGCTCAAGTATTGCTATGATTGTGAGAATGGCGCAGGACCGGGAAGTGTTTCCTTCTTTTGTACATAGTGTCGCTGAGTCGGAATCAACTCGACTGCATCTAATAACAACATTTATATGAAATGTCCAGAATAGTCAGAAACAGAAAGTAGATTAGTGGTTGCCAGGAGCTGGGGAGAAAGGGTAATGTGGAGTGACTGGTAAAGGGTATAGAGTTTCTTTTTGGGGTGATAGACATGTTCTGGAATTAGATAGTGGTGATAGTTGCACTGCATATTGAGTATACTAAAATCCCCTGAAGTGTACTCTTTAAACGTTTGTAAAATACATCTCAATTTTAAACACGCTAAAACAAAGCGTATCTTAAGGATCACACTCTTTGCACTAGCCCTTGCTACTCACCTGACTTTACATTCAGTCGTCCATACTTTCTTGTTAATGTGTAGAGTGGGTCGTGATTGCAGCCTCACTTGCAGGAGTGTTAGGAATGTGCAGGTTCTATTATGACAGGCATTATTTATTACTCAGTCAAAACTCTATGTGCATTGTTGTGACACTTCTCATGCTTTCTATACTGAAATCTATCTGTTCATAATAGTGGACTCATGCAAGCCCAGACCAGGTCTTTTGCATCACTGTACCCTATGTGCCTAAGACAGTGCTTGGGAAATAGAAAGTACTCAAATGTTTCACTCTAAATCAGTGGTTCTCAATGGGATGACAGGGACGATTTTGTTGTCCAGGGGACATTTGGCTATGTTCAGAGACATATTTGGTTGTCATTACTGGGGGGGGGGGTAGCATGGAGTACTATTAATGAGTAGAGGCCAGGGATGCTGCTTAACATTATGCGTGCACAGGACAGCCCCCCACAGTGGCCAACAGTGTCAATGTTGAGAAACTCTGTTCTAAATGGTTGAGTGAATGACTGAGGAATCCCTAAAAGTAATTCTATTAAGGATGAAAAAAAGTGTCCCCTTCAAGAGGAAGTAAGTAATAAAATCATCCTTGTATTTGGTGCTTTACTTCATGAAATGTCCCACATCATTCCTTGTGGTTTTTAACTGAATAACCAAGTTCCTGGGAAAGGTAGACCACGAGGGAAACCTGCAAGGCTATTTACCTTCCTGACCTTGACTAAGATATTATTAACTTGCACACGATTCAGCCCTGCAACCTAAAGCACCTGGTAAAATGTACATTCTTTGCCTGTTACAAAGCCCAGGAAACATTTTTCAGGGTATTTAATATGCATGAAGAAACAGCCATAGCCCTCCACAAAATCTACAACAGTACAAGTCTTTTCTCCCAGAGGCTGGGAGCACCCTGTCCAACACCAGGACAGCACATAGGTAACATGCAGAGATCTCCACTCATGGCCTACCCAGTTCAGGGTGCTTGGTGGGGAAGGTTCATCTTTTAGGCCTCTAGAT